ATTAATTTATCGTATAATAAATGCATTACATAAAACATTTAATGCAGTATTTAAAAGAAACAAAGGAGTTCTTTGGTTATTGCTGATTAATTTAATGTAAGTTTAAATTACGTCAAAAAACATTAAATTTAAAATAAATTACATATTTGGTAAGACTTGTCATGTAATTACATTTATTTTAAGTGTCATTTATCGATAAATCGGCAGTAGCATCTCTAACTGCATAGTGCCACAATAAGGAACCGATACCTCCTGATTAATCTCTGACATAAGGGTATTTTCTGCAAAACATAGACACCCCTGCTTAGCAAATAAATAAATATATTATCTATAAAAAAAAAAGTAGACGAAGCGTGCTTTTGATCCGTCAGTAAAAGTTCATGGGGCGATCTACTCGTGAATAACTGAAAAGGAAGCAACCAAAAATATATAAAGTAAATCAAAAGTTGAACAAACTTTAAAACACAACGCATAAAGAATAAAATTAAAGCCACACATCCATAGTGCAGTGACCGAATTCCATTTCATGAACATAACAATTATTTGTGGCCGAAGAAAATTCCCCCGGACTTCACAAGGTTATTGCAGGATTATTATTTAATTTTAAAATGAGTTTCAAGTTTTTGCTATTCATTTCTATATTGAATTCAACCTTATCACTACAGAAATAAATTATATATGTATAAGTTTTCATGGCAATATAATCCAAATTATGTTTAATAAATATTGTGAGTAAGGAATTTACTGCAGTCACTATATTTGAAGCTGGTTGTATTACTTATGAGAAAGCGAAGATCACTTAGTATAACTATGATTTTATCGCATCTGTATTATTTTTACTAGTGTATCATGTATGTAAGAATCATTTTTATATTCATACAAAGAAATTAAAATTAAGATACAACACTGTTGTTATGGATTATTTTCGATAAAGGAGAATGTTAAAATTGGCCTAAGAACCAACACCAATTTGGCATTTATGATAATTCTTAGTATATTTTCTGCGATAATTATCAGTATTATGTGACGGACACTTCCAGTTAAGTAAGCTAAATTAAAAAATAACCTGAGACAATAAATACCATTTTATATGTATAATCTATGGCAGCGCTGCAAACAAAACACTCTTTCTTCCTAATGCCGGCACACGACTTGGCTATTCGTATTTGCTATTTTAAAAAATGACATCAGTCTGTCCTTTTCATTCCTTATAAAGCATGACAAGGACAAACTGTTGTCAAGTGAAGGGCCGGCATAAAACTCGTTACTCTGTGGTTGTGGTGCATGCAGTTGGCATTTGTGGCATTCGTGCATTCCAAAGAGTAATATAATATACCGGAAAGTGCATTCTCGTTTCGGATTACCTGTTGTGTGTGTTTATTTGCGATTGTTTTTCCTTTAATTTAACTATTTCGGCTATCTAATATGCTATCGATGTTACCAAAGAGCAGAGCCCTTATTACCAAGTGCTAGTGAACCTGTGCCACATCATCCTGAGAGAATCATACTGCCAAATTATTCAAGAACACCTGATACACATTTACGCTGCATATTTACACAATATACATGTCATATACAAATAAATACAATATACAATATGATACAATTATGTGAAAAATAGTCAATAAATAAGAAGCAAAACTACAGTTTTTATTTTATTCATGATTCTTACCTAACCAAGTTTTTCCTAATAGTTATTCTTTAAAATCGCACCGAATAAAATGATTAGTTGTAATATTAATCCACTTCATACTGAGTTCATACTTAGTTCATAGATTGACCTATGTTTCATTGAATATTAAAAATAACCTCAAAAAAAATTTTGTTTTCCTAATAATTTAAGTTCTCAGAAGTGTCCGGCAATAATCTTTGTTTTTACAGTCATTTACTTACGATTTTAAACCTAGAAAATAATATTGCATGATTGTTGGTTCTTAGGCTAACTATGTAAGGACGCTGAACTATGTCCTTTATGATTAAGTTTTCTATTAAGTGTCACGCGAAACCACACTGAGAAATACAGTAAATTTTCTATATATACTTGTTCAGAATTCGGTCGCTGCAAGTAAGCATTCTAACTAACTTGCTGACTACATACACACCCGTTTGGTGTATCGTAATATCCGGATCCACCTCCGTGTATTACCTGCAAGGAGATTCGATGTTAATATATCTTTTTATTTCTTCTGTTCGTGTGTATGTCATTGATTACATTCATAAAAAATCGATTTTAAAGCAAGGGACACAGAATAAAGACGTAAGACCCAGATAAGGTGCAGACATTATGGATCTTCCGCGCCCTTTATAAACACCTTTAAATAACATATGAACAATTATGTATTACTTTTGTGTTTTGGTACCAAACGAAATAGTTTAATATGTCTCTATTTCTGTAAAATGCTGGTGATAAGTTTATTGCGCCCATTCTTCGTATCAATCAATTGGAACAAAATATAGGTATTCAATTATACATGGTTAATTATAAAAACACCAACAACCTCTTAGGGGGTGATTCCATCCATCAACAAGAAAACTATTATTATGGGACCAACGCTGAAATAGCGAAAAAAAAACTGCTGTTTCATACAAAAGTGCATCAGCTAATCGACCGAAATGTATGAAACAGCTGATTATTTTTTCGCGATTTCAGAGTTAGTTCCATAATAAAAGTTGTTCCTGATGATGGGTAGAATCACCCCCTAAGAGGTTGTTGGTGTTTTAAAATTAACCCTGTATATATATTTCATTTTCATATCATGTAAAGATACATTAACAGTACTTACATTGGCGATAGAAGAGAGAGGTTTGGGCGCCGTGAATCTGCCCACTGCTGGTGTGAGCACCGGCGTACTCCGGCCCGACTTGCTGCGAGGTGGAATGTTATATGCGATGAGATGAAAATTAAGATGATACCAGATTATTGACTACTCTTCTATATAGAAAAATGCTCTTGAAAAGGACCCCATTCTTAATACTTTATAATAAAGACTTGCCGTCTTTAATAGACAGAATGGTGTTATTTTAAAACATTTAATAGCTACAGACAGATTAGCGTACGTGTCAAAGATCTCCTATATCTTATGCTGCAAGGCATCGCCATTTTTGGTTATCCTAAACCGTCTTACAGCCCGTATTCCAGTGAAAATATTGCTTCGGGTGCCCGAATTCGAGTAATGTATTTCGTGCACCCGAATACGGGCTAACATGGACATTATCGTTTGATAAAATAATATTTTTAGAGAAGCTTGTTATTAACTATATAGATAAATTATTAGTGCAAAACCTCTGTAGAATGTTTCGACAGAAATTAATAGAAGCATGAAAACTGCATCAGTATTTTAATACAGTTACGCGAATGACATGGTTACCAACCCTGGATGATGTTAACTGATTTATTAAAGATAGGTGATAACAAACATTTTAATATAATCTTTCTGGTACGAAAAGATCGTAATTTTGATAACAAGCATTTAAATCATCCTCCCAAACAATCACTGTTATTGTAAAGATGACCATACATAGGTCGATCAAATAAACAATTCAATTATAATTTAAAATAGAAATGGTATATATTTTATAAAAAGATACACTATAAGAAAAATATACCCCTCCAGCCTTCGTTACCTCAACGGCCTGAACGCAATACCCTCGTAAATTTCTAGAAACCTACTCACTATATTACTATAGAACAGGGATTTGACTGCAGCCTTCTTTAATCTCGATTCTATTAATGTTCCCACTGCCAGGTCTTAGGACCCACCCTATAGACGGAATAGGGGATCTCCCCTATTATAGATAGATAGATAGATAAATTCTTTATTGCACACACATAATGTGGCCAAAGACGGCCTTATCGCTTTAAGCGATCTCTTCCAGACAACCTTTGCGGTAAAGAATAGCTAAAAGAAAGCGGAAATTGTAGTATGCCAGCAAGATAAAACAAAGAAATATACATATTTTTTTTAACATATAAAGATTATAACTGAGATTGTGCCACACTCCTCACCCCTCGGGCCCAGGTCCTACGTATTTCGGAAGGCTTGTTAAGGCGTTGATATTGATCCTTGTTGTATCTGCAGTCGTTAGCACCCGCCAATCCGCACTGGGCCCGCGCGTTGGATAAAAGGCCAATCTCTCTTCTTCCATATGAAAAGACTGCGTGCCCCAGCAGTAGAGACTTGAATAAGCCAATGTATATTTACTTTTTCACAGACTTAAATAAAGATTGTTCTCAGTTTGATTTGTATGTATGGGCGTATAGGTGTAAAATGAAAAAATAAGGTTTATCGACTGATATAATTGAAGGGAATACCATTATCATGATCTGCGTTCTAAACACATGATTTGGTATCGACTTAAAATATATCAGTCGGTAAATCTTTTTTTTTTTCATTTTCAGTTATTTCAACCGAGGAACCTTATCTTTGGTTTCTGGTTCTATTTTTATTAAAAATTCTTTTATTTTTCCCTTTTTAGTGTAAACGGAATATGCTACTGGTTGGAAATTTTACACGGGTAGGTCGATAGCAAGATCACGCGCGTATAATACGCAGGTGAAACCGTGGGACACTGCTAGTATATCATATACTAAAACCTTCCCTGATAAATACGAATTTATATACCGAAAACTCCATCCAAATCGGTTAAGTAGTTTTGAGATAATCGTTGATAAACATACAAAACACGCAGGTCAAACTGAGAACATCTTTTTTGTTAAGTCTGTTAAAACTACATATATTATTTTTGTCAGCTGTAACTGCAAGAGGAACAATCCCAGAAAAATGGGACAACATTGTTCACTCTATGGATATAAAGATCAGTAGTTCTTAACCATTTAGTAACGAGGGACCATTTGTCAAAATTTCCGACTTGCCACGGACCACCACTTACGATACTGATATAGATGCTGGCTGGCTACAATATAAAACATAATGAAGGCCTGTGTCCCCGCAGTAGGAACATTAAAAGGCTGATGATGATACATAATCCGCTTTACTTACCTGGCACTGCCCGTCTGGGTGAAGAAGCTGGGCGAGACGGCGAAGTTGTTGCTCTGACGTATCAACTTGGTGATGCCGTAGTTCTTCAGCAGGAACTTCTCCATTTTCGGCGACGGTCCGTCTATAGCCAATTCGCTGGGGTTTATCTGCATGTCCTTGAATTGTACATGCGAAAATCAGTACCATATCAAAATTAGAATGCTTCTTGATTACTGGTACTTGGTGCACGAGTATTAGGAGCCGCTCGCCATACACGGACTGCTCGAGCAGCTAGCCAGTAATCAACATACATGAACTGCTCTAGCAGTCAGAGTCAACAGCTCGAGCAGTTGTCAAAACAAGTCAAAATCATTTCATTCAACCCATTAGCAACATGGATTTTAAGGAAGAAGCACTACTACTACACTATTATGCTGATGTATGTTACACTGATCTTTCCGAGGAACTGCTAAGTAAGTTGGAACGTTTGCAGAATATAGCTATCAGATTTATATATAATCTCCGTAAATTTGACCATGTAGCACACTTCCGCTAGAACCTCAACTGGCTCCCTATTCGCCGGCGCAGGGACTTACATACTCTTACGCTTCTTTATTCTGTACTTTTCCTACCTACTTCTCCATCTTATCTAAAACAATGCTTCTCTTTTCGATCATCCTCTTCACGATGCATTCTACGCTCCTCTTCTAATCTCACTCTAGCAATACCTTGCCTACTCTGTGCATTCTGTTCGCTTGTGGAATTCATTACCGGAATCCATACGAAGGGCTCGACTCTGGACTCGTTCCGTGAGCGAGTTAAGCGCCATTTCCTATCTTTACTTTGAAAATACCTCTTTCCTTTATTTATTATTTTTTTATTTTTGTTTCATATAAATATGCATCTATATTATTATTACCGTTTTTATTTTATTTTATAATATTTAAGAGCAATATTATAAAATAAAATAAAAACGGTAATAATAATATAGATGCATATTTATATGAAACAAAAATAAAAAAATAATAAATAAAGGAAAGAGGTATTTTCAAAGTAAAGATAGGAAATGGCGCTTAACTCGCTCACGGAACGAGTCCAGAGTGCGAGCCCTTCGTATGGATTCCGGTAATGAATTCCACAAGCGAACAGAACCCACCCTTCCCATTTTTTTTTGTTCTTATATACTTATTTAATTTTCCGTCATGGGTTGCCTGGAAGAGATTGCTATTAAGCAATAAGGCCGCCCATTGTGTAATGTCTCTCTGTCAGTGTAATCTTACTGTTATGTCCTTTGTGGTATTATACAATAAAGAATATTATTATTATTACTACTGCTACTTTTGCTCAGACAACGAAGGCGGCGGCGTAGTAATAGGAAATTGCGGGTTCATCCAATATTGAAAATACGAAAATGGAAATAATACCAAAAAATTATTTTGTTTTATTTTATATGACATGTTTAAGTTATTATTAATAGACTGTTTTGTGTGAAGTCAACAAACACATGTACAATAGAACTATCAGTCGCAACTTTTGACTGCTCTAAGAAAATTACAAACTTTATTTAAAAAATCAATGTTGGAATACAAATTAATGCAACAGAGCGTGAAAAGAGTTTAAATGTTCAGCAAAGTGTGAGTGGTGCAAGAGACTGGCTGCGAGAACGGCTTATACCTGCTTGTTTGAAATCTAAATGGGATTTAAAAAAAAACAAAGAGTATACCTGCAACATATGATCGAATAGCACGCGGCCGTAGCCGTGCCGCTGCCTGTCGCCGACCACGAAGAAGTCGAGCACGCACAGCGGCTCCACTTCGCACACCTTGTCCTGAGAGTCGAACAAGAACAGGTGCTTGCGACCCACCTTCAGGAGGCCGATGACCTCGCCTTTACCGCTGAAATCGGAACAAAGATACTTCATCATTGCTGCCTTTCATTCAAAGCTTGGGCAAGGCGTAACGCCTTCCTCGTCAATGGGAGTTGCAAAGAGGATATGTTCCCGTCATTGCTGTTTTTTTAATGTCTGGGAAAGGTAAGACGCCTTCCTTGCCACCTTGAGTTGCAATGAGTCCGTCCAGCTCAGGGTTCGGCGAAATGAGCCCTACCCAAAACCAAAGATTGTACTACCGCACCGATCACCCGACACACACTCTAAGTTCTCTGAGGTCCCCAGAATGAGTGACGAGAATACGTGTGTGACCCTGTTAAGATAGAGCACGCACCCGTTAGCGCTGTCATTGCTGCTTGAACTACATACCTTTTTAAACGTGCTGTAGGTACAATCCTGTTGATCAAAAATTTATGATCTCGAGCTCCTCCGTGCTTCGGATGGTCGACACTTGCCGTCGGTGGCTCCTACTTTTTTAACACATGCGTGCAGTATCATAATGGACTCTGATGAAGAAGGTTTGAAGGTCAGGAATCGCGCGAGTGGCGCGTGGCTGCGTTTTGTATCGGTGCTTTAGTGGATGGCGCGGGCCACAAAATGCGAGCAACGACGATTTGTAGCATTTGGCGGCCACCGGCGTTAACCGTGTGCGGTGAATCCATATAAAATGTATGAAAACTACAGAAAATATGCCGGTGGCGGAGTTTTGTGGTTGTCGCCGGTGGCCCGTGTACGCTGGCACTTAGTTAGCACCCACCAACTGAGACCGCGCGGTGGAGCATGATGAATGACTCAATCTCTCTATTCCAACTGTAGGGATATCTGCCCAAGCATTGGGGACATTAATAGACTGATGATGATGCAGTTCTTGCTTCCAAGGAAGCCGGTTGCGTTATATTATCAACATTACAGTAACAAAAGATGAATGAAATGAAAATGAAAAAGAAAATGAAAAATTATTTATTGGCCATCATAAACATAGTAAATGACAAAAATATAACTTAATCTATAGACGGCCAACCAGGACCCTGCCTCAGCATAAGCTAACATAGTGAGAAAATAAAAAAAACTTCTCTCACCATGTCGGCGCTGTTATTCTGGCAGGACCTGTGCAAGATTACGCGGAAGTTTGGTAAATGTCAAAGATTCATCTATCGCGATCACACTGAGCTCATCTTATGGGAGCTAAGTGAAAACGCGTATGTCAAGCACTATAATGCAAATAAAAGCGAAATACGTGTGTAAAGACTGTGCGCTGTAAATAAATGCATTCTTGGTGCTGGTTTGTCATAATTAACAAAGTACTTTCATGTTAATGGAAAGTTGGTATTCGGCAATTAAAAGCAGCGTTAAGTTCGCTATGAATTTAGTGCTGGTAAAAACATGAGTTACGACAGCAGAGCGACAAGTAGTTGTATTCGGGTTTTTATAAATCGCAAGCAAATCGCGATCGTATCGTTATAAAAAAAAGTAACGAGGGTAAGAGTACTATGGTTTAATTTTTAGAGAGATTCAGTGTCATTATAACGTCATTTTTCGCTGCAAGTAGGATAACATTTCTGGCAGTATGGCCTGCTTTATGCTACTTTATATATCCGATACCGTTAGCAACAAACATATTTGGTAGTATCAAACCGAAAATAATAATTGTCTGACGATGTGGGCAGCGCGCTGCCCGCTGCAGCGGCCATGACTAAAGTTTAATGTTGTTGATATAAATCTGTTTATGTTATATTATGTCTGCGAGGAGCTAGGTGACGAAGCGCGCGATTTGTGTTATTATTGCGGAAATCTGTGACGCATCTAACGCAGTGACTAGTTACTGGTTGGGCAACCAAAATTAACTGGAGTCCCAACAAAAAATAAAAGAGGCTCTTATTAGTAGCTCCTTTTTCTTCAAAATCGGTTCAGGGGTTGAGGTGCAATAGAGCATCGAGCAGTTACATAGTTAAGAAAATTTATTATAAATAAAAATAAATTTAGACAATCACACTATTTGAAGCACCCAGGGACGTTAATTCAATTGAATGTATCATTTAGTTTTACGTTTTCTTATTTTAATCACATCACAAGGAAAGTACCAAAATCGATATAATTCAAACAGAAGTTAATTTACGTCTCTGAGTGCAACTCGATTGTTACAATCGAATGCAAAGCAAACTTTCGCAAAGAATTCGCTTTGGCGGGTAAATTTCGTCAGCATTAGAAGAAAAATATCCATCATTAAATGTTGCTTTGCACTTTTTTTTTTTTTTTGTTCTGTGGCTGTTTCCGTTTCACAGAAATTTCGCCAATATCCCGTAGTGAGAGAGACACGGTAAGAGAGAGATTGCTCGGTATTTAACAAATAAAAATTTTAACGATTAGTCGTCTCCGTCTTGGCCATGTTACTTCTCCAGTTTTTCTCGCAAAGATAAGAATTTTAGATACTCTATCTGCGAATGCGGTCTTGAAGAAGGCACCACAGACCACTATTTATTTATTACATACACACAACTTTTTTGACGTAGTAACGACTGTCGTCAATCATTCAATGACAGGGCGACAGAGTCCTCTTTCTCGTTTCATAGACTTTTGGAACGAAGTTCCGTATCGCGCGTTGTAGTCCAGTCGGAATAGCCATAATTTGGACCGACTTCTATTCTAAGACACCAGCGCTTAGCCAATTTTTTCCTAGGTAGTATAGACCCCCACGAATATGCCCTCTATTTGTCCCCGCTAGAACCCGTGTTTTGTAGCCACGAAAATTGTTTAAACAAAGAAAAACCGGTTTTTTTGAGTTTTTTTGCTTGTAAACGGGGATTTTGAAAATTTTTTTGAATCAAAGTTGTTCATTAGCTTGCCCTCTACAAAATCAGTTCTATGAAAAAATAACGTGAGATTGTTAGTTTAGCAGTAAATTGCAATTATGTCGGTTTTACGTTTGCAACAATTCAACATGTTATAATAAACATTTTGATTTCTAAAGTAGTTTATCATGTGGGTAACGCCACTCCCAAGAGAGTCATGTAAAATTTATCGACCTGTGTCGCAAACTTTAGCAACAATTCTCAATCTCCGAAAAAAAAGTACTTGCCTGTCCCGTCTTTCCCAGAAGGCGCACAGCGGGAAAAAAAATTCAGGTGATTCGATTCACCAAGAATTTTGAGGAATCGATCGAGTAGAAAAAATCGTTAATAAAAATGTTCGTTTTTGGACGATTTAATTTCTTTTAAAAAATTGACGTAGAATATTTTTTTTTAAACTAATGTATTTTTCTCTCCTCAACTCGAATGTACTATTCTGAATATATATATATAGAATATATATATATAGAATATATATATATATATAATACTAATATACCCTGAGAATTCCGATTATGAACCGGAAGAAAAAAGGACGAAATTAATTTAATTAGAAATATAGAATACAACGCAGTCTTGTAATCGAATTTTAGTTAATAGTTTTGTAAATAATTTCTGTACATAAATAAACTGAATTTTTTAAATTTTCAATCGTATATTCGAGTTGAGGAGAGAAAAATACATTAGTTTAAAAAAAAATTAATCTACGTCAATTTTTAAAAAAAAATTAAATCGTCCAAAAACGAACATTTTTACTAACGATTTTTTTCTACTCGATCGATTCCTCAAAATTCTTGGTGAATCGAATCACCTGAATTTTTTTCCCCGCTGTGCGCCTTTTGGGAAAGACGGGACAGGCAAGTACTTTTTTTTCGGAGATTGAGAATTGTTGCTAAAGTTTGCGACACAGGACGATAAATTTTACATGACTCTCTTGGGAGTGGTGATCCCCACACCCACCCACATGATAAACTACTTTAGAAATCAAAATGTTTATTATAACATGTTGAATTGTTGCAAACGTAAAACCGACATAATTGCAATTTACTGCTAAACTAACAATCTCACGTTATTTTTTCATAGAACTGATTTTGTAGAGGGCAAGCTAATGAACAACTTTGATTCAAAAAAAAATTCTAAATCCCCGTTTACAAGCGAAAAAACTCAAAAAAACCGGTTTTTCTTTGTTTAAACAATTTTCCTGGCTACAAAACACGGGTTCTAGCGGGGACAAATGGAGGGCATATTCGTGGGGGTCTATACTATCTAGGAAAAAATTGGCTAAGCGCTGGTGTCTTAGAATAGGTCTCATGTTTATTCCGACTGGACTATTGTGAAAGGGGGCCAGACGGAAAAAAATCTTACGAAAAGTTGTCACGACACTTTTTGCTATAGTAAGCTATTGTAAGCTGTGCGGCGTATTATGTGCTCTCTTAAAACACACAGCATTGGAGTGAAGATGCTGCTTTATGATCTTGCTTTATCTATGGTAACTTTGAAGTGTAATGGTAGCTTTACTTACAGTTTTATCTCCTCACTCACCAGGGGGCGCTATCATCTTTGTGATTAAGCGTTCTTTGACATCCGTTTGAATTCATAGCGTTTTATGATTTTGCAAAGTAACTGTCACTAAAAGTAAAAATGTTTATTTAGTGAATTCAGAGTGTGATATTACAGTTTTTCAGTGTTGTATAATTCGTAGGAAGTGAGCATTTAAAGGTTTATAAATAAATCTTAGTAGTGTTTGTTGTGAAATACGAGATGAGCACATCGGATGAGGTGAGTCGTACTCGTATGCAAACGGAGTCGAATTCTGCTGCTCCGGAGGGAGAGCAGAGGGAAACTCCGGGCTCGAGCGAAGACAGGAACATTTCCTCTTCCTCCTCATCTTCGGAAGATGAGGAGGGTTTCGCTAGCCCACCTCCGAATAAACGACCTCGGAAAAAAGATGAACGAAAACCGCGATCGGATCCGCGAATCGATGCTTTAATCAGTCAGGTTTCATCTATATCCAACTTCCTTACACATTTGCCATATAATCTAAATACTATAGCACATTCGTCAGAAACATTATCTAAAAACATTTTTCCGTCAAGCACAGAATTACCCTTTTTGAGTGTTCCACCAATACAATCTATTAACCTTTCTTTAGGCGACATAC